TCAGCCCAGCTGTAGCTGCAGCAAGGTGCCCTGGCACTGCTGAAACAGCTAACCGGAAACATGACAAGCTGAGGTTAAAAATAAAGCTCACACTTACCCAAAGCGGGGTGTGGGAGAAAGCCAGCCCTGCTCCTGCTCTGTTTGTACTCGAGTTGTTACTGCCGGAAAATACCTGGGGAAATGTCTGCCTTTGAGATTTTAACCCGCGGCCCCATCTACCCGCAGCTTTCACCACGCATGCTGCCAGTCCGCATGGGAACATGGGCTGCTTCTGAAGTCTGCACCAAAAGGCGGCATTTCTGAGGGTCCATTGTTCAAATCTGACTGGAAACCATGGCCGCAGACCACTCGCTTCAGTACTCTTCCAAGAGAAGAGTGTAGCTTACAAGTGTCACCGCTTGTACTCAAGCAGAAGAGGCTCAACAATAGTGGAAATGCTACCATCAGGTTTTGTCAAAAGATCAACAAGTCCCAGGAAGGATGCAGGGCCATTTGACAGAGTTGAAACACCGTTTGCTGATCAGGAGACATGGCAAGTCATACCAGGTTGTGGCATTCAGGTATCACAGCCAACAGCAGCAAGATGAAAAAAAGCATGCAATGTCCTGACCGATAGCAAGGAAGTTCAGCACTTGCCATGACATCACCACCTACTCCAAAAAATCAGGGGGAAACAATTTTAAAGAAATAGGTTCTATGAATTAAAGCTGCTTCTGCCAAAACAGTATTGTTAAGTCTTTGCTGTTGGCAGTGATCAGCTTTTGCTGGCAGCTGATCCGTAACAATACCGAGCAACCTGGCACAGGCAGCTTCCCTCTCTGCCTGCTGCTTCTCCCATCCCCGCCATGGTTATGAGCAGCACCAGAGACTGCTCTAAAAATCTGCAGAGCCAGAAAGGTCAGATTAGAAATAAGACAAATAAAATCCAACTAATTGAAGGTGGATTCTTGTAGGAATTCTTATAAGGATGGCAGGAAAAATGAAACCTTACATCTCCTGGTTGAGAGCAGCAAGCTCAAGCAGCTGTGTCTCTGAAAAAGCCATCTTTTGAATACTTCATTCTACTTCATCCGTAAGCGAGATCCACCGAATGAAATGCATGAAAGACATGTTGTCTGAAAACACATTTTTTTAATTTATTAAATCTGTACATACAATTAGCTAGCATTGTTCTCATTAACATATTTTTAACCTGCTCCTCCACCATCCCTCCCTAGGTCAGCACTCTGCTCTATCAAATAACTGGAAGGCAAAGGCCTTTGCCACCTTCGGTAGCCTGAACAGCAGTGGTTCCATTCGACCTGAAAGACTCAGCAGCCGTAAGGTAAGTTTGATTACTTTATTTAAAAATCAAACAGGTCTTTCTGTTCAGTGTGTGGAGCCAAACATTGTGTCTGATCGTTGTTAGTGCCAGGAAAAACTCATCCATGAACACTGATGCAAAATTAGAGACTAACAGGTACCAAAGCTGTCAGAAAACCAGCTTCTCAGATGTTGCCTCGGAACAGCAGGATTTGGGTTTTTGCTGAAGCTTCTTACCATTTTAAGCTCAAAGTTGCTCTTATCTGTTGTGAAGACAGGTTTTATTGTTACTGGACAGGGTTACTGGTGTTGAAAAACAGCAATGGTTTTGCTTAGTTGTAGTTGCACCGACTTTACTGGGCAGCAGGAGGTTGTGTTAAAGCTAAATCTTTCACCTGTTAAATCCAGACAGCACAGTGCAAGTTCCAAGTCAATATGAAAACAAAATTAGGCAAATCAGAAAGCTCCTTGGAAATGAATGGGTAAGAAAAATCTGGACACTTCACTTGGGATTGACATTTTCTTGCAGAATGCTTTTGAAAACCAGAAGAACAGCCCAGAACACTCTGAAGACCCGAGGACTTCGGTCAATTGATTTCTGCCCTCAAATACTGGCTTCATCATTTCAGGTCAAATTTGCACTTTCTACCACTGCATGTGTTTTTTTGCATCAAATCACCACAATTAACATTTGTAAAGTGCTTTGAGATACTGCTACAAAAATACTAAGCATTAAAGGAAGGGCAAAACATCTATAATCAGTACCTAGCTGATGATTACTACTTGTTTTTTTCCTCCCCCTCAGAGCAGCATCACTATATTCTCCTTTGACTTCCTGTGAACAAAGAGTAAGGTGCCAGTGTTGGAGATGGCACACAGGGAAAAGGAGTTTCTGCAGGGCAGTCAAGGAAGGATGTACTGGAAAACATGAAGATGTCTTCTGGAAAGAGGAATGAAGCAGAGCTCCAGAAAAGGATGGGCATTTACTTCTCAGCTACACCACAAAAATAGTGCCACATGCACAAAACTACGCTTTGGATAGCATAAATATTTGCCAAAAAAGGAGAGGTGGTGCTAATTTAAAATAAAAATAAAAATCAAGACATTGATGCTTTTCAGGGGGAGGAAGTAACTGCTCATTAGAAGCTATTGCCTGAAGGCTGTTAACTACTTAGTAGTAAAATCCTGTTACCTTTCCAGTTGACAGTAACCTCTCTAGTTAGCAGCTTCACAAAAGCAATCCTTGTATGAATCCATAATGGGTTCCCAGATTTTTAGAAGGTTAATTTTACCATTATAATTGCACTTTAAAACCAGGCATCAATCCCTATGCACTTTCCCCAAACACCACCTCGATTTATAAAAGTGGAAAGAAAGGCTACAATTATTCACTGTCCTACAGCTACCAGGATTTGAAAGGTTTGATTTAGGTGCCTGAAGAAAGGATGCAAACACCCAGTTTTCAGGTCAGGAAAAGTGTGTGTTTAAAAAAAAAACCAACAAAACAGCAGGCTTCACAGCTTGGCTTGCATCGGCTTCAAGTGTTTGTGGAAAGACTCGTGAACCTGTAAAAGGACAAGACAGTGATTACAACAGGGTCAGGCCTGAGCTTTAAAACAGTTCCAGCTCTTTACACCTTGCAGTGTTTTTATACTAAGAAAATCTGAATCAGAGGCACTCCAGGGATTTAAGAAGAGCCTGCTAAGTCCTGTATTTGAGTCTCAAAGGATGAGAATATAAGCCAAAACAAATAGCTTCCCCATTACTTTTCTTGTAAGAAAAAAAGAATGCAAGACATCTTAGGCAACACACAGACAATTCTTTGGCATTTTGATTTGAAGAAAACTGGCAGAGGTCTCCTAAGGGGACTGTAAGGAAGCTCCTGAGCCCCACTGACTTCAGAAGCACAAAAACTGAGCAAGTTCTGGTGGGGTTTAACTACAGTTGCAGTCTCTGGCAGCCCATCATAACACGTAGTCTGTCCAAATCAAATAGAGGCAGTAAAGGCCACTGAGACGGGGTTTAGAGCTCTGTTGTGGCTGATGGAGGAGGGACACTGACTCTTCTCAACACAATTTCTTTCATTAGCTCAGCTGTAACTACAGCCTTAGGGCAGACAATGCAACACCTGACACTTAAGTACTACAGGAGAGCAATTTATTTTCTTCTCCAGTCACTACTACTGCCTGCAGGCACTAAAAGATTTGCCAGAAAACAGGCAAGGCTTTCACAGCTACTGTCACTATGCAGAATTAAGAGCAAGTGATAATTTCTTTTAATTTCGATGAGTTTATTCAATTGTTTCTCTAGGTAGAGTATGATTTCCTCCCTCAATTGAGAAGCTCAAAAGTATCCCACAGGGATGCACGTGAGGTACACATGGGAGAGGAACTGAAGAAAATACGCTGAAAGCAGAGGAGCAGTAGGTTGCTAG